CAAGGAAACAAGTGTCAGTTGCTAGCCTAAAAACTGACTGAGTGAAGATATGATAGCACTTCTTTCATGTATTAATTAAAAGATCAATGCAAAGAGGTTTAACCAATGTCTCTATAGGTAAATCATTCTCCAGCTCCACTGYGGATAGGCAAAAGCAAAGCAAAGGRGTTGCAAATTTGGCATAGGGAAACCTTTCTAGGGTAGGGAAATCCTCTAGGCAATTGCTTGAGTTTAGAAAACCACTGGTGGTAGAAATCCTGTGAACTTCTGCTAAGAATGGTTTAGATATATTTAATCCTATGACAAGAAGATGGATTAAATTATCTCCTGAATTGCCCTATTTTCTGTTCCATGMAGATAGAAAACTTGTGAGGCAGTGCTGATGCGGTTAATAAACTCTCTTGCTAGCTCCTTTTGTTCTTCTTACTAACCAAAAAATGCAAAATGTGCATTGTTTTTCAAACATCTCTTCTAAACGTAACTTTTCCCTCAAAGTCAGGAGAAAATAATTTCTTCACCAAAATCCTACCTCATGAAGTGTTTCTCTTGGCAGYTTTTCTTTGCTTTTCTTCAGTGATTCACTGATTCTCTTCAAGAAAAGRCAGCTAGATAAAACTACAAGGATAACCAAAGCAGTGTACGTAGGAGCAGAGTGAAAGCTAAAATGTCAGGGAAAATTAAAACCTGGCATGTAACCAGGTTTACATGTAACCTGATCTGTTACATTTATGTGGTCTCTGCACCTGAAGTCTGTGGTGAGGAGGGAGGTTAAAGGCAAACCAGTTCAGTTTYTGTAGTGATGCTGAGATCAGAGGTTGCAGTGCAGGCTCTTTGGCTGCAGGAAMAAAAAGCCATCACCTGATGTGTCTCATGTTAGTGCCTGTTCCCCTTGATATAAAATTGCAGCACCTTTCCTTGGGGTGCATCTCTCTCTGGATCATCCATGGCTGCATCTTCTGCAAGGGAAAGCAATATTCTGGACAGAATTCTTACTCATCACAAAAAAATTGGAAAACGTGAGTGGGGACTATTTCTTCTATTGCACAGTAGATGTGTGTAATGGTTTAACCCATGCCATGCAGCTGCTTGCCCAATAATAATAATAATAATAATAATAATAATAATAATAATAATAATAATAATAATAATAACAGAGAGAGAGAATAAAGCCTATGAAAAGCAAGTCCTCACAGCTCAATCACTCTTCACCCACTGGCTGGTGCCACCCCAAGCAGCAATCAGCAGCTCCCACCCAACTGCCCACTGTTTCTGTGCCAGACATGAGGCTCCTGGTGTGGAATATCCCTTTGGCCAGTCCAGATCAGCTGTCCTGGCCATGCTCCTTSCTGGCTTCTGTTGCACCTGCTCAGGGGCAGAGCAGGAGACACTGAAATGTCCTTGGCTTAGGGTAAGTCCTGTTCATCAACAACTAAAACATCCCCGTGTTACCAAAACTCTTCTCATCCTGAATTCAAACCACAGCCCTGTACCARMCRCTAGGGAGAAAATTAACTCTATYRCAGCCAAAACCAGGACAAGATGTGGAAACACAGAGTGAAAAAGGCCTYTAAAAGTAGTTCATCAACCATTTCTCCAGTCTGCTTTATGGTGTAGCTGCAGAGATAGTTATGATTGCCAGCAGAAGGGAGGAGGTGGTGTGAGAGTACAAATCTCAAAGGAGATGGAAGAGGRTRGGCATTRCSTTCACAGTGACCACAAAGAAGCTTRGAAWGGTTCAGTAAAATTCAAAACTGGTGCATGAGACCATCCTTAATTGCTGATTTTCAGACCTAGAAAGAAAACTGAATCACACAACCTCCAGGCCCTCAAATTTTATTCAAAAAACAGAAGAAGAAACTACAACTGAATCTTTGTTTCCTCTCTCGTTCGGATGTTATTCTCTTATTTTAAAATGCCATCGGTTAATAATAATAATAATAATAATAATAATAATAATAATAATAATTTCTTTATATAGATCACTACTAATTAGTGTGTTTCTGCCCTCTCTGTTCTGTGGCCTGACATCATGAAATACTTTGGATATAGGCTCTTCCTTGTAGCATATCACCAGTTGTCCTGCACATCTCTTGCAGTGACAGATTGAGTTCTAACATCTCAGAGATGTCATCATGATACTGCATGAAATTCTGTGGCTTTAGTTCTGCTTTACTGCATCATGTAAAAAATTCAAAACAGTCAATGAGTGAACATTTAGTTGCTTTTCTGACCTCTGAAAAATGGTCTTACTCTGTTTGATAATCACTGAAGTGCTAAAATTATTGCTTATTAATTAAGTTATAAAATTRGGCCATTACTGTGCTGTCACAAATATACACRTAGATGTWCATRYGTATTCATTTGCACASATTTTGTCACTCTGCTGGCTTTTGATGTGCAGTTCTTGCTGTTCACGTCACTCACTGATCCTCACAGCTGACCCTCAATAAAATACAAGTATTGYATGATTTGATTAAATTTCCAATTTYATTGTTGCCAGTTCTGTTGGATATAATTGAATGAATTTTCTCTCCCTGAAAAACTTCTASATTTCTACCTACAGTGCTGTTTAAAAAATTACCAGTGAGGCTGTGCTCAGTTACCAACAGGATTGTACTTTCCTCTYGTTCATCTCATTTCCAGTCTTCCACAACTGATAAGAAGCTTTTTTCCATCATTCTCACTGCCTGCTCAATTGAATCCTACTAAAATGAAATATTTTGCAAGCATCTGCTATATTAGAACTATCTTTAATCTGCTTTARTCAACTCCAAGAGAAATAAAATTAGGTTTGCCATAAGCACACAATGATCACATTAATTAAATTTCTMTCCTTAATTATTTATTATTTGGAATGTATATTAACCATGCCATTTATTTTTTCAAGATCCACATCATGCTCAAAAGCTTGTGATTACCTGGATTATCTCATTTACTTCCAAAATTGTTCTTTTRTTCCTTCAGGTCCTCTGAAAGTTGCCACTGTTTCCCAACAAACTGAAAAAAATTATGTATATGTCCCCCAGACAGCTCTGCTGAAATAACTAAATTCAAATTACACAGAATTGCAAATATCAAATTACACACTTTAGTATCGACTCATTAATTATATTCACATCCTGAATTATTCTTGATGTGGAAATATTTAATAGTCTCAGCTATACYAAACATCTTTATCATGCCAGATACACAACAGGAGTGCTTATTGATCTCTTTTTAATTAACTGTTAKGGAGGCCAAGATTTCTCTTAGTAATGAATCACTACCAGAATTCCTGYAGCTTTGGTTTACACAGGAAAATATCATATTCCTTTTATTCCTATCAATATTGGCAATAGCTTTTCCTTTGTAGCTGTTTTTCTTGATTAAACTCCTACATTCTCAACCTCTGGCTGATATTCATTATTATTCTTTTTTTTTTACAAAATTCCAACTTTAAGTCTGCTTAGTTTTCTAATGCATATGATATTCCTTCTAAAGAAAAAAGGAGACAGCTTTTTTGAAACAGTATTGATCAGAGATATTATTAATTAGCATTGATAGTTTATTGCACTTTAATTTTCTAATTGTTTTCCCCTTGAGGAGCTGGCTTATTTTAAAGCTACAAATAGAGTGGTTTGGGTGTTAATCATACTTGCAGATAACAGTGTAAACTATCACGATGTCTTGTACAAAAGTTAGACTGATTTTTACGTTTGTGATCGGTTGTTTTTCATATGCTAGGACAGTTGTGCCACTCACAGCACTTTGTGTTAGTGAGAAATCTTTTGCCTCTCAACTTTGTAGGTAGAGCTGTGTCTCCCCTCCAGTGCCCACGTCTGTTACTCAGAATTCAGTTACTCCTGGTGTGTTAATTTTCACCCCTCCCCCTTTCGTTCCACGCAGGTGCGATTGTTTGGGGATTTTAATTTGATTCAGCGGTTGTAGCAGACACCAACTAGTAAACCACATAGTATTTATAGGATACAGCACTTTTTTCATAAACATTTGGCAAAGTGTGTCTCTTGAGGTGTCAAGAGCAGTGTAATTTTTTACAACAATTGCCATTTCCTTTTCTTTTTTCCCCAAGCCTGCTCTATTGTAAGCACCTTGGAACATTTTGGCAGTGCAGGGGTTGGACTCGCCACAGCATCACTGGGCCAGGCTGTCCGTGTCCCCAGCTCCCCGTGTTTGTGTCACAAATGACCTCTTGGCTGTCCCTGGTGTCAGGGTGAGCCCATGCTGGACACCTCCAGGGTCCATCACTGGTGGCTTTAGCAGCGGTGACAGGAGCGGGCAGCACCTGCCCCTGCTCACCTCGGTGGTGACACTGGGGACAGTGTCTGCTGTGTGGCTGGTGGTGAATCAGCCTGAAGAGGAGTTTGGGCTCCTCCAAACTCCACCCTGTCTGGGAAACACCAAGTAGAGCCTTTGGAGGAGGATTGCCAGTCAAACCCCATCGCTGCTCACTCTCTGTCCTAGCAAAACAAGAAATAATGATCCCATGAAAGGCTCTGATTCTAATGAATCAGATGCTTTTTGAAATGTTTCCAACCATCTCAGTTGCTTGACCCACTTTCTGAGCGACTGCACCCTCTAATGGGGTAAAACAGATTGACTTTCAAAACAGCCAATTTATTTTTATGTTGTTTATTCTTTTCTAGCCCTTACATGCATAATACAATAGCCTATTCTTGTAACAGTAAAACAAGCACAGTTTTGCTGCATGTAGATTACAGGGGACATATGAATATTCATTGAAGTCTTTATATGATTCATCTCTACTCTGGGTTAATGAAAAGTGTGTAAACAGCTGTATATATTCATGGTGAAAGGAGAAAGGAGTTTTAATCATAGAAAGGGGACTTTATTTCACTTCTAAGTTCAGGAAAAATTAGTAATATTTTTCCTTCTGCGAATAGCCATCTCATTGTACCAAAGCTTTGTCGGGAACTGAACATTTGAACAATAAAATAACATGAAGCAGACACTTAACCATGATGTTGCATCTTGTCAAACAGGTAATTCTCTAATGGACCAATGAAAGCCAACGATGACAAGTTGTGGTCAACAGTCCTTGAATGTGCTGATGGTTCTGCTCTCATTACTCYTGTCAGCAGGTAATTTTTATAGTTCATCTTTTATCGATGTGTGTCATGGGAAAAAAATAGTTGCAATTTAATACTTGCTTCCAAACAAACATGACTAAATGATTGTTAATTTAATAATAAATAAATCATAGAATRRTTAGGGCTGGAAGRGACCTTCAAGAACACCTAGTTCCAGTATAAATGAAGCCTCTTTGTATTTAAGGACTGGAAGATGGAATTTGAAATGGAAATGAAAATTCAGTTTAAGAAGAAAGCAGGCTGGAAAGTTAGCAGAGTAGCTCTATTTCTTTTGATATGCTATTTTTTCAGCTCATCTAAAAGAAAAAAATAATTTCTATACCACCGTAAAACACATGCATTTTGCTAAATAAACATCCACTGGAAGTAGAGCAAGTCAGGTTCCAGTTGTGGGTTTTTTTGTGTGCACACCAGAGTATGTAAAGCATCTGAAGGACTGAAATTGGGATCCATGTTATTTTCCCAAATCTAAAGAATTAACTGGATCAGAGATGTTTCTCCTGATTCTTGGTTCTGCTCTAGATGTTTGCTAACAGCACACAGAAAGGGTTTGTGTGGAGATGTGCCAGTTGTTAGACTGAGAATTAGTTGAGTGCTCTGATTATGTTGTATCAGAAGTTATTTATAACATTAGGGTTTTCTGTAATTGTGAATGATTTTTTTTTTTTTTAATAACAGTTTTTCAGTCCAAATAGATTTGGTCCTACAGGTTTTTTGCTTGCAGTTCAGTATCTTTTATCTTCCATTCTTGAAGCAATTTTTAATACAAAAAGACTTTTTTTTCTATCATGGCTCCTTATTCCCTTGTAGTACATCACATCCCCAACCACCATAGTTAAAACTTTACCAGGCATCATGTTTCTTAAAGTATCCTTGTGCTCCAGTCAAAATTGTGCCTACTCAGTCTGCGTCTTTAATATTCATATAATATTAATATTCATATCCTCGCCAGTGAGTTGGAGCATGTGTTTTATTGCCCACGGTCTCGCTGCTTGTTTGCAATGCTCAAGTTGATTCTTGCTAATGACAGTTCATTATTAAGCTCTAACACAGCCCTTTTGTTAACAATGTTATAATACTATCAATTAGACTGCTCCTCTGCTCGTGTTGAAGCATTCTTTTCCTTTGGAGCCCTTCCCCTGACATCCACATGTATGGCACTGCATCCCTAATTATGGAGCTGCCCTCTCGTCTTCCTCTGATGGACTGGGATCAGGCACAGGGACTGGAGCTGCTTCTTTGTTGTCTTCTAAGCTAAAAAAAAAATACAAAAATTTACTCCCCTGATGTAGGAATGAATTCAGTTATCAGGAAGACTTCAATGAAGTGATCAAACAGGGATCAAACATCACAAAACTTTTCCAACTGCTCCAATCTCTTCTGTCCATTTTTGTAAAGTTTTCATACCTTTGCCAAGCTTTATAGGGGCTCCTACTAGAGCTTTCCTGAGTTCCCACTCCTCTAACAAATTTCCTAAAGATGATATAAATGCTGTAGTTGAATGGGACACTGTGACTGCACGGTGTATGCAAATAGATGTGCTCAACCACTGGTGTGTTCCCTCAAACCCTTATTCCCTCAAACCCAGACATAAAGCCAATGCTCTGATTTTTTTCCCTCTCTTAGAAGTATTGCCTCTGAAGTGCAGTGTTTTCTTTTTAAACCAAGCACACATAGCTTTTATTCCTTCATAATTTAGTTAGTATCATGGATAACTACTGGCTTTGTAGGTGTGTCTCTTACTGTTCTGTTGCTCCTTGGCYATTGGTATTTTATTATCTGACATCCACTGTTAGCATGTAGAGTKCAGGCTTAATTGGAAATCATCACAAGCCTTTCATGCCAGCCGAGCTCTGCTCCTTGTCTAATTTTGCCAGTGACATCTGTAGGAGTGGGTTTAGGTCATTGGTAACTCACACACATTTTACAGGAGGAAATTTATTACTGTTTTTCAGCCAGCCAATATAATCTATTTGTCCAAGACAGACCAGCTTCCATAAAGGATTTATGCAGTGAATGATGGGGGGRAGGGGGGAATAAAAAAGAGATTCTACTCTCAGTGGAATGATACGAACATAATTTTTAACCTGAGCTGAAATGAAAATTTAATTGCAAGACTCCCTTWGAGTGCCCTAGATTTACTGACTTCCATCTGTAAGATGTTGCTTTACTTCTAAGTCTTTGTGTACTAAGGTTCACAATCATAGTAATAAATTTCTGGATTGAAAGAATGGAAACTTCCRATATTTTATTTCAGTGCTAGCAAGATCACAATGACATTTTAGGGGTTGTGAACACTCACAAGTTGTACTGGGTAAACAAGGAATGCATAATAAAGGGAGGAGCACCATGCAGTCATGCTGGAAAAATTACTTTCTAACCACTAGCTCTGAGATTGGCTTTGCAAATGTTGATGCTTATTCATTTAAAGGATTGAAACACAGTTATAAAACCAGTGATGACAGCAAGGCTTATATTAACAAGCAAAAATGGTCAGATTATTTGCAGGTTACAGCATATAAGTAGGAAATTAACATCACAGATAGGAAGTTAACATGTGGTAAAATGCATATTTTACATATGAATATTTCTGTGTATCCATATGGAAAGCTTACCAGCCATTCTGAAAGTCTTGAGGCTTTAAAAAAATCTAGTATCTAAATTAAAAATGTACCTTAGGCAGATCTCTTAACTGTGACCAGAGAGGGAAGTGTCAGTTTGATGTCTGCTGGCTGTGTAGTTTTTAAGGTAAAGTAGGTAAGTCTTGTGATGATGAAGCATGACAGATCATTCTCTTGAAGTCAGTTGGAACAGAGAGAGGAGCATCTGTATCAACTGTTCAATAACAGTTTTTCAAAATCATGTGAGAATTTGCATTTGCAGCTTCACTTCACACACGGCTGCATCTCTGCAACAAATAAGACAGTTCTTACAGGTACAGTTCTTTTATCTGAAGTATTTCTATAGAAAAAAGGTTCTTTCAACTTGGGGATTTAAGCCAAGTTATTCTCTGGGAAAAAAAATACTTGAAAGAAAATAAATCCCACTTTGTTTACTGGCTCTGATTCACAGAGACACAAAGACAGCAATTGAAATGACACAGATTACAATAAATGAATGAAGTGTTTTGATTATGTGCTGGGTCTGGCTGGGATGGGGTGAAAGCTGTCTTTTGTAGGGTGACCAGAGCAGTGCTGGTATTCCACCACTGCTGTAGCTGGTRACAGGCTGGCACTGCTGACCCGACTGGCCAAGGTGGTTCCCATACCATAACAGGGATGCTCAGCAATAAAATTGCGGTGGGAGTTTACCCAAAAATTGCTCAGGGACTGGCTGGGCATCAGTCTACTGGTAGTGAGTGATTGCTTTAGCATCACTTGAACTCCGTTTTTTATTGTTAGTGGTCTTGTGGGGTTTTTTCTTACTCATTTATTACACAGTGTTGATCTCAAGTCATGAATTTTCTCTTTGCCTTTCTGATTCTGTCYSTCTCACTGGGAGGGGGAGTGAGCAAGCAGCTCTGTGGTGTTCAGCTGCCCACCAGGGTAACCCACCACACACTGGCTGCCAGGTTCAGAATGTGATTCAGTCCTCACATCAGGCATTTAATCACCTACACTTTTGGCTATTTCAGGATTTGYTTAGGACTACATTTTATTGCATTCATCCCTCCTCCTAGGACCTGATGTTATSTCAATTCTCCCCTCATTCTGCAATCATGCGTTCCTCAGTTTTCATTCTCAGAGAAGTTTGGAGATTGTTTCCTTTTTACAACATGCAAAAAAAMCATCCAGGGATTGAGGGACACATCCACAGGTGCAGTGAAATTCCATTCCACTTGGCAGTGGGGAGTGAGCTTCACCTCTGAGGGATAGTACCCAGTGAGAGTATCAGAGGCCATGGGCACAAAATGGCACCCAGGAGGTTCCCTCCATACATCAAGGAATGCTTTTTACTTGTTCCTGGTACTGAGCACTGCCACAAGTTGCTCGTGGTGGATGTGGCGTCTCCATCCTTGGAGATCCTCAAAAGCCATTTGGACATGGCTCTGGGCAGCAGGCTGTAGGTGGCCCTGCCTGAGCAGAAGGATTGCATGAGATGACCTCCAGAGGTCCCTTCCTACTGCAAACATRGAGTTTTTCTAGAAAACCTATCTTGGCACACTTTTATTATTGCTGTGTTAATAAAGGATGGGGTGCAGCAAAGTATTTGTTCGAGCAAACACCTCTCTCCACATGCTTTGTSGATTTTGTGACCGAATTTGAACATGCAGATTTGTTACAAGAGTTATAGAGGGTGTTGAAAACCTAAGCCTAAAGAAAGATGGTTTCTTTACTGAGGATACCATCCTCACATTTGGAACACATGGCTTTCCCAGGTAGGGCAACAACAGRTAGGTAGTTCATTTTCTCAGTAGCTGTATTCCTTTAGAAATTGCCTTCTTCCAGCACTTTCCATTCCTGACTGAACTAATCTACAAAATGATTTCTTCTTTTGTGAAAGTAATCATGACAGGTACGTGTGTGAATACATAAATGTTTAGAGTGGGCTTTCTTGACTCAGAAGGCAGTACAAGTTACCTTGTTTTCAGTTTAGTACAAGTTACCTTGTTTTCAGTTTAGTACTCTTGCTTTTTGTTCTAGGCTTCCTCTCTACACACAAAGAAGTGATCTCCACTGTCACAATCCTTAAAATGTCTCTTGACATGAATATACTTTATAAAATCGAGGAATAAAAGTGCTAG